GGGGGGATGGGTTAGCCTGGTGAAGGGTATTAAGGGGGCACGTATTGAATGGAGCACTGGGTGTTATATGCAAACAATGAATCATGGAACACTACATCAAAAACTAAAGATGTAATGTATGGTGATTAACATAACATAATAAAATAAAATTTAAAAAAAAGCTATAGTAATCAAAATAGCATGGTACTGGCACAAAAATAGACACATAGATCAATGGAACAGAATTGAGAGCTCAGAAATAAACCCATGAGCACATAGTCAATTAATATTTGAAAAAGTGGGAAAGAACATCCAATGGGAAAAAGACAGTCTCTTCAACAAATCGTGCTGGGAAATATGAACAGCTACATGCAAAAGAAAGAAACTGGATCACATTCTTATACCATACACAAAAATAAACTCAAAATGGATTAAGGACTTAAATGTGACACCTGAAACCATAAAAATCCTAGAAAAGAACACAGGAGGTAATTTCCCTGACATCAGCCATTGCAACTTTTTTCTAGATATGTCTCCTAAGGCAAGGAAACAAAAGCAAAAATAAACTATTGAGACTATATCAAAATAAAAGGCTTCTGCACAGCAAAGAAAATAATCAACAAAACTAAAAGACAACCTACTGAATGGAAGAAGATATTTGCAAATGACATATCCAATAAAGGGTTAGTATGCAAGATATATAAAGAACTTATACAACTCAATGCCCAAAAAACAAATAATCTAATTTAAAAAATGGGTAGAAGTCATGAACAGACATTTCTCCAAGGAAGACATCCAGATGGCCAACAGACACATGACACATGACAAAATGCTCAACATCACCCATCATCAGGAAAATGCAAATCAAAACCACAATGAGAAATCACCTCACACCTGTCAGAATAGCTAAAATCAAGAACACAAGAAACAACAAGTGTTGGCGAGGATGTGGAGAAAAGGGAAACTTCGTGCAGTGTTGGTGGGAATACAAACTGGTACAGCCACTGTGGAAAACAGTATGGATAATTCAAAAAATTAAAAATAGAGCTACCATAAGATCCAGTAATTCCTGTGGTGGATATTTACCCAGAGAATATGAAAACACTAATTTGAAAAGATATATGCACCCCTATGTTTATTGCAGTATTACTTACAATAGCCAATTTATGGAAACATCCAAAGTGTCCATTGCTAGATGAGTGGATAAAGATATACATATACATATACATATACATATACATATACATATACATATACATATACATATACATATACATACACACAGTGGAGTAATATTCAACCATAAACAAGAATGAAATCTTGCCATTTGCAACAACATGGATGGATCTAGAGAATATAAGCAAAAAAATCAGTCAGAGAAAGACAAATACCATATGATTTCACTCATATGTGGAATTTAAGAAACAAAACAGAGAAAAAAGAGACAAACCAAAAACAGAATCTTAACTATAGAGAACACCTGATGGTTACCAGAAAGGAGGCATGGGGGGGCAGGCGGTGAAATAGGTGAAAGGGATTGAGAAAAGTACACTCATCACAATGAGCACTGAGTAATGTACAGAATAGAATCACTATATTATACACCCGAAACCAATATAACACTGGATGTTAACTATACTGGAATTAAAATCTAAAATTTTTTTAAATTTAAATTTAAAACGAAACAAAACAAAATTAAAGTGTCAGCAGGGCCACATCCCCTCCAACGCCTCCAGGAAAGAATCTTTCCTTGCCTCTTCCAGTGTCTTGTAGCTTCTGGTGTCCCTTGGCTTGTGGCAGCGTAACTCCAATCTCTGCCTCCATCTTCACATGGCCTTCCTCTCCAAGTGTCTCTACGATCAATCTGTCTCTCCTTCTATTATAAAGATCAGTATGCAAAACTCAATTGCATTTCTATATATTAGCAATGAACAACCAGAAATTGAAATAAAAATACTCTTTACATAGCATCAAAAAATATGAAATACTTAAGGATAAATCTGACAAAAGCTGTGAAAGAGCTCTAAAAACTACAAAATACTGATGAGAAAAAAATCACAGATGATCTCAACAAATGGAGAGATAGTCCATGGATTGAAAAACCCAGTATCGAGAAGATATCAATTCTCCCCAGTTGATCAATGTAATCCCAACCAAGATGCAGCAGGCTTTGTGTGTGTGTGTGTGTGTAAAATTGACAAACTGATTCTAAAGTTGATGTGAAATGGGCAAATCCTAGAATGGCCAAAATAACTTTGAAAAAAAAATTGGAAAGCTAATACCACCTGATTTCAAGACTTGTTATAAAGTTTTAGTAACAAAAACAGTGTGGTGTTGGCATAAAAAAACCAAATAGATCAATGAAGCAGAATATATACATATAGTGTGTATTTATATATACACACACATAAACAATATATACATAAACAATGGATTTTTAAAATATAGACTTCATTTATTAGAATAGTTTTAAATTTACAGAAAAATTGAGAAGATAGCACACAATGTTCCTATATGCCTCTTACCAAGTTCCCCCATTATTAATATCCTATATTAATATAATACATTTGTTATAATTAATGAACCAATATCGATACATCACTATTAACTGAAGTCATCATTTATTCAAATTCCCTTAGTTTTAACTAACATCTTTTTCTGTTCCAGGATTCTACCCAAATTACATCTCAAATTACTTAGCTCCGACAGTTTCTCAGACTTCCCTTGTTTTTGATGACCTTGACAGCTTTGAAGAGTATTGGACAAGTATTTTGTAGAATATCCCTCTATTGGGATTTGTTTGATGTTGTTTTCATTAGGCTAGAGTATGTGTTTTGAGAAGGAATACTTTAAAGATAAAGTGCTTATGTTGTATCAATGTTATATACTAGCAACATGATTTATCTGATGAAGCTAACCATCACCTGGCCTAGATAGTGTCTGTCACTTTTCTCCACTATAAACATACTCTTCCCCTCCCCACTTTCCTATACCAAACTCTTCAGAAGGAAGTCACTACACACAGCCCACACCTGAGGAGTGGAGAGTGATGCTCCACTTCCTTAAGGGTGGAATAGCTACATAAATTATTTGAAATTCTTTTGCAAGAGAGATTTTTCTCTTCTCCCTCATTATTTATTCAATAATTTATATCAGTATAGACTCATGGATATTTATTTTATACCTTATAATCCAATACTACTTTATTTATATACTGTTGCTCAAATTGGCCATTGGGAGCTCCTTTAGTTGGCTGCTGTGTTCTTTTGACAAAATCCCATCAATATAGGATTTTCTTTTTCAGCATTTCCTTCATATCCGGGGCTACAAAATGCTCTGGGTCCATCATGTATATTTCCTGCCCCAGTCCTAAAATCATCCACTTCTCCAAGGAGCCCTGAATCTTTTTATTGACAAATGGTACTAAAAAACAAGATCTGGGCATTAAGTGGGCATTCATTGCTAATGGAGTAAATATTTGGTTTTAACAAAGGTGCAGGGGCTGGCAATGCAGTAGAGAAAGCAGTCTTTTCAACAAATGATGCTAAAACAACTTTCCATATGTGAAGGAAGGAAGGAAGGAAGGAAGGAAGGAAGGAAGGAAGGAAGGAAGGAAGGAAGGGAAAAGAAAAGAAGAAAGGAAAAGAAAAGAAAGAGAAGGAAGGGAGGGAGGGAGGGAGGAAGGGTAGGCTTGAGTCTACACCTTGTTCCAGGCACAAATTTAATCTAAAGAAAGATCCATAAGAGAACAGATTAATGAGTTGGACTTCATCACATTTCATGCACTGTTCTTTGGAAAACACTATTAAAAGAATGAAGAGACAAGCCACATATGGAGGAAAAATGTTTACCTGACAAAGTGTCTATCTGATTAAAAAAAAATTTAATCCAGAATTTATATTGAACTCTTAGAACTGATTAAGAAAATAATTCAATTTCTTAAATGGACAAAAGATTTGCACACACCTTCCCAGGTTATATGCATAGCAAATGAGCACACAGAAGACGCTCACCAGCATTTGTCATAGGGGAACAACAAATTAAAACCAGACCTATTAGAATGGATAAAATTAAAAAGAATGATCATGCAAAAAGTTTGAAAGACTGTGGAGAAACTAGTAGAAATATAAAAGGGTAAAAACTCATTGGAAAACATTTTAGCAGTTTCCTAAAAAGTTAAACAAATATCTGCTATATGATCCAGCCATTCTACTCCATGGTGTTTAATAAAAAGACAAGTAAGTATTCATACAAAAACTCGAATACAAATGCTTATTACTTATCTCAGTCCTGAGCACCAGCCAAAAACCTGGAGCCTATACTCAAGAAATTCTGGATAACGAGACCAATGGATGGATCAAAAGAGAAGTAGACTGGGGGCGCCTGGGTGGCACTGTTGGTTGAGTGTCCAGCTCTTGTTTCGGCACTGGTCATAATCTCAGGGTTGTGGAATAAAGCCCCACATCAGGCTCCACACTCAATGGGGAGTCTGCTTGAGGATTCTCGCCCTCTCCCTTTGCCCTTCCCTGACTCACATGTGTTCACTTTCTCTCTCTCTAAAATAAATAAATATTTAAAAGAGAGAGGGAGAAGTAGACTGGATGGAAACAGGAACACAAGATGGGTAGGCAGGGAAATGAACAGAAAGATGAATAAATTTGTGGACAAACAATGGTGAGTTGAATGGAGAAATGAATGGACAGAACAAATGTACAAAAGGATGAAGATTAATGGATGGACACAAAGATGGACAAGAGAAAGGTAGATGGAAACATGGAAAGATGGATGGATGAATGAAGAGACATATGCATTAGATGGATGGATGGACCAATGGGGAAAGAGTTCATAAGCACTTCAAGGGCAGACTGTTCCTTGTTTATGTTTTTTCAGAGCCCACAAAAGGACAACGCATAAGTAGTTAGATACCCAGTACACATTTTTTGAATGAATGAATGAATGAGATACTGGGTTATTATGGAAAGAGTTTTGAACTAAGAGTCAGAAAATCTGATTTCCATCTCTGTATCCTCCAGTTGTCTATGTAAACATGAGCAACTTAACTAAACACCTTCAATCTACTCTTCCGTAAAATGGGTAGACTGGATTAAATGATTTCCAAGGTCTTTTCCAATCACTCTGTGTTCCCTGATTTGAAGCTGCCCAAATCGAAGACAGGGCTATGGGATAGGAGGAGGAGTCACAGTGAAGCAAATGTGTGTTTATTTACAACTCGTCCTAATGCAGAGCCGATTCCAGATCCCTGCCAACGATGGGGGAGAAAAGTTAACACACTCCAGATTAGATTCTGTGCAAACTGTCTTGCTGGGAGCCTTGTGGTGGAAATGAAAGACAGGCTGATAGTAGAGCCTGAGGGGTAATTAAGAGGGTTATTGTGAGGGTGTACCCTCCCCAAGTTGAAAGGAAGGAGGGAAGGGCCAGACCTCACAACGCCTCCCAAGGCCCTTGGCTGATGGCCAAATGCACTCTATGCAGAAGGATGGTTGTTTGTTCACAGAGCACGTGGCCTGTCCTGCCAGAGTCACACCTGGACTCCTAACATGCTCTGGAGTACTAATTGTGCCAAGAGCACATCCATCATTAGTTACAGACTGGTATGTGCCAGGCACTGTCTATGTATCACCTCATCACTTCTCCCAACAACCCGGGGAGGCAAGAGCGATGATCCTCACTTCATGGAGGAGGACAGCGTGGCCAGTAAGTGGCAGGTGGAGAACCTGAACCCAGAGGACGTTGGCTGCCTGTCTGGACAGCCGCCTGGAACTGGTCAGGTAACAATGCAGAGACTTCAGGCTTCATGCCACACCCGCTGCAGTGACACCTGCTGGAGTTTGCCTGATGCCTCTGCAGTGTGCTTTCACACTCATTCAAGCTACAGTGTGATCCATCACTCCCATTGTGTAGGTGGGGACCCTGAGACTCAGACTGACAGGTGAGTGAGCCAGCCACGGTCACACAACTTGTAAAGGGTGAATCGGGGATTCCCTCTCGGAGAACTGGAGTCGAGGGCCAGGGCTCCTAACTAGTGGATTCATCTATTCCCATGTGGTAGCTGGAATGGACATCTGTGGATTTTGCCTAAACATCCATTCTACCTACCTCTGGTTACAGCATCTGAATTTCTTTGGAGATTCACACCCACACCCCACCAGCTACCAACTCAATCCATGTCATTTGGGCAGAACTATATGCCCTGTACTTTCCCAACCCCATGCAGGGTAGGCAGATGATCCCCTTGGTCCCAATGAATGCATGTGACCAAAGATGTCCAATGAGACTAAGTCCCATGACATTAGAGCAAACCATTGAGAAAGTGGCACCCTCTTTCTACTGGAATTTCTGAGCTGGTAAAAGGGAAGCCAGAAGCGGCCAAGGGCCACCTGAGACATTGCAAAGGGACAGCCCACCAGAGAGTGAAGCCAACACAGACAAAAACAGGGACAAGAGATGGGGAGACACAATTTTCTAAGGACCTACTTTGAGACCTGGATCCAGCCACACCTTGATATATCCCAGCTACATGAGCCAATGAATCGCCTTTCTACTTAAACCAGTTGGAGTCAAGTATCTCTCACACACACCTAAGAGGCCCTGAGTCAATACAGCCCCTTCATCACACTGAATTATCATCACTTGTGTCCTTGGCTGTTGACCAGTTAGACCCACGTCACTTGAGGGCAGAGACTGGGTCAAGGCCACCACTGTGTCTCAGTGCCTGACTCCAAGCATGCCTGATGAATTTTTGTTGAATGAATAAAAACCCAGCTTGACCTGATGATCCTTTGTGAAGCTGGAGGCATTCTGGGCCCAAGAAGACTGACTTCTCTGGCCTGGCCCAATCTTCCCTCCTCCTCCACC